GGATGTAATAATTGTTAGTCGTGGATGTAATAATTGTTAATCATGTGGATGTAATAATTGTTAATCGTTAATCATGTGGATGTAATAATTGTTAATCATGTGGATGTAATAATTGTTAATCATGTGTGTCTGCTGTGAACAATAATCATTTTCACATCATGAACAGTTTCTCAGAATCACCTCTAAGTGTCTCCARTGGAACCAGAACCACAGAAACGTGACACCAGTCCTGGAGTTGGCGTGGGGCTGCGCACATTTCCATGTTCAGTTGAGTTTTGATACATCCAGAGATTTGTGTGGATAATGACGTACGCAAGGTTTTTGTGCGTAAGCACCGTTGATACATGAGGACCCTGGTGAGTTAATTATCTGCTGTGCGCAACGTTCGCTTGCTCTTTATTAAATAAATCAAAGCCATTTTCTTTATTTTATCTTTTATTTCACCCGCCGAGGGCAGACTCTCCTCCCACATCCCGCTGCTGCTGCTACTGTCACAGTAACAAAAAGGTTCTTCTTCTATTGTCCTCTTCTCTATAATTGTGTTTCTGTGGCTGGCTCCATCCAGTGTTGAAACTGAGAAGTGCAACATAGTTGAGCTGAAGCTTCTTGTGCGGGCCATATTCAATTATATTTTTTAAATTTGCTGAGGGCCAGGCCGTAGTTTGGACACCCCTGTGTTAGGTCAAACCAGAGGTCTCACATTGAAAATAAACTCTAGTGTTTCATTATTCCAGGTGACGGTGGAAGGTGAAAAACTGAAGATCAGGAACAATAAATACCTTCATTGAAAATCATGGAATATAATAAATAAATAAACATCTGTTGTTTGCAAGTTACAAATGCTTGTGGCTAGAGAAGATGCTAAAGCTGCTAAAATAATCACGCAACCACCACCTCCCTCCTTCCTGGGAGTTTTGTATCTAAAATGTAACATTGTATTTAAAGTGTACAATGCTAATGCTAATGCTAATGCATCCAGATAATATTCATTAGCATACAGACATGTCTGATTTGCATACATGACCAAACTACTGCACTGGAGGACAGAGTAGTGCAGYAGTTTGTCCAGTAGTTCATGTGCAAACACAAACATAACACACTTTATCGCTTGCTTTGGACAACACTCACCAATGGACTCACTCCAGTGTGTTGATGCACAACGCTGCTTATAAATGTTTCTTTGTTTTTGTTCTGCTGCTCACATGTTTGGTTCTGGGTTCTTTCAGGAGGCAGCACTTCGCTGTAAAAAGGAGTTTTCTCCGGTGCTTGAAGATGAAGAGGAGGTTCTTAAGGAGATGTTAGACTGGGCGTTTGGAGGCTTTCAGCCATCTGGTCCCAATGGGCTCAAAYCAATACATGGTACAAATACTTATTTAAGATATTTTCAAGAGAAAAAAAACCACACCAAGCAGTGCAGACCATGACTGCTGTTTTTAAGGGGATCCCTGATTAGTTGTAACATTAGACTTTATTTGATAAACATATATTTTAACTGTAAGACTGTAAAAATACTGTAGGCTGTTTAGTTTTGTAAATTTTTTAAAACATATTTTAACGCGGACGGAGCCATTTTATTTACACACAAAGCATTCTGGGTAAATGATAACGTGGATAGGTCCTCGGTGCGAGGCTGCTAGCGAGCTATATCCAC